TCTACTCTACTCTACTCTACTCTACTCTACTCTACTCTACTCTACTCTACTCTACTCTACTCTACTCTACTCTACTCTACTCTACTCTACTCTACTCTACTCTACTCTACTCTACTCTACTCTACTCTACTCTACTCTACTCTACTCTACTCTACTCTACTCTACTCTACTCTACTCTACTCTACTCTACTCTACTCTACTCTACTCTACTCTACTCTTAGAGTAGAGTAGAGTACATTAGAGTAGAGTAGAGTAGAGTAGAGTAGAGTACATTAGAGTAGAGTAGAGCAGAGTAGAGTAGAGCAGAGTACATTAGAGTAGAGTAGAGCAGAGCAGAGCAGAGCAGAGTAGAGTACATTAGAGTAGAGTAGAGTAGAGTAGAGTAGAGTACATTAGAGTAGAGTAGAGCAGAGTAGAGTAGAGCAGAGTACATTAGAGTAGAGTAGAGCAGAGCAGAGCAGAGCAGAGTAGAGTACATAAGAGTAGAGTAGAGCAGAGTAGATTAGAGTAGAGTAGAGTAGAGTAGAGTAGAGTAGAGTAGAGGGAGTCAGTTTGCTGGGAGAAGTATGGTAACTTGAGCACTATCCTCTCCTCCTTCCTACTTTATCTGTTTAGCATTTTTAGGATTCTGACTGTAGTTTGTTCATTGCTATTCACCCGTTGTCCCATTGTCTGTTTCATGGTACGATGACGGGATCTCTGAGCCTGGCCTCCTCCATCTACACCTGCGGACTGCCCCGCCCGACCCGCCTGGGAGTGCTTCAGTCCTGCACTGGACCTGTCCACGTTCAGCGGCCACTGGTCCACGTTCTGTAGCTAGCTTAGGTCCTAGATCATTAGTCTGTCCGTCCGGAGGAGCGGATCCCTTTCTCATATGGGTCTCCCTCCCTGTGGGTTTCCCTAGTTCTCCTCCAAGGTTTCTCACTTTTTCCCACTGGGTTTTTTAAGAGTTTTTCCTTGTCGATGCAGGAGGGTCTTGTTGGACAGTTAGTGTCCAACAGAAAGGATTGGTGATGATCAGGACACTTTAGCATTCTACAACATGTATGGACATTTTCTTCTGTGTGTGCTTTATACTGTATTCTTCATGTGTTTTAACTGTTGATTCTCTGACCTGTGTTGGTGATTTCAATGGTTTTGTTAAGTCCTCTGAGATGACTTCTGTTGTGACCTAGGGCTATACAAGAATAAATTGTATTGTGTGTATTGTATTGTAGTAGAGCAGAGTACATTAGAGTAGAGTAGAGTAGAGTAAAGCAGAGTACATTAGAGTAGAGTAGAGTAGAGTACATTAGAATAGAGTAGAGTAGAGTAGAGTAGAGTAGAGTAGAGTAGAGCAGAGTACATTAGAGTAGAGTAGAGTAGAGTAGAGTAAAGCAGAGTACATTAGAGTAGAGTAGAGTAGAGTACATTAGAGTAGAGTAGAGCAGAGCACATTAGAGTAGAGTAGAGTAGAGTAGAGTAGAGTAGAGTAGAGTAGAGCAGAGCAGAGTACATTAGAGTAGAGTAGAGTAGAGTATATTAGAGTAGAGTAGAGTATATTAGAGTAGAGTAGAATACATTAGAGTAGAGTAGAGTAGAGTAGAGTAGAGCAGAGTACATTAGAGTAGAGTAGAGTAGAGTAGAATAGAGTAGAGTAGAGTAGAGTAGAATAGAGTAGAGTAGAGTAGAGTAGAGTACATTAGAGTAGAGCAGAGCAGAGTAGAGCAGAGCAGAGTAGAGTAGAGTAGAGTACATTAGAGTAGAGTAGAGCAGAGTAGAGTAGAGCAGAGTACATTAGAGTAGAGTAGAGTAGAGTAGAGTACATTAGAGTAGAGTAGAACAGAGTAGAGTAGAGCAGAGTACATTAGAGTAGAGTAGAGTAGAGTAGAGCAGAGTACATTAGAGTAGAGTAGAGTACATTAGAGTATAGTAGAGCAGAGCAGAGTAGAGTAGAGTAGAGTACATTAGAGTAGAGTAGAGTAGAGTACATTAGAGTAGAGTAGAGCAGAGTAGAGTAGAGCAGAGTACATTAGAGTAGAGTAGAGCAGAGCAGAGCAGAGCAGAGTAGAGTAGAGTACATAAGAGTAGAGTAGAGCAGAGTAGATTAGAGTAGAGTAGAGTAGAGTAGAGTAGAGCAGAGTACATTAGAGTAGAGTAGAGTAAAGCAGAGTACATTAGAGTAGAGTAGAGTAGAGTAGAGTACATTAGAATAGAGTAGAGTAGAGCAGAGTAGAGTAGAGTAGAGTAGAGTAGAGTACATTAGAGTAGAGTAGAGTAGAGTACATTAGAGTAGAGTAGAGTAGAGTAGAGTAGAATACATTAGAGTAGAGCAGAGTAGAGTAGAGTACATTAGAGTAGAGTAGAGTAGAGTACATTAGAGTAGAGTAGAGTACATTAGAGTATAGTAGAGCAGAGCAGAGTAGAGTAGAGTAGAGTACATTAGAGTAGAGTAGAGTAGAGTACATTAGAGTAGAGTAGAGCAGAGTAGAGTAGAGCAGAGTACATTAGAGTAGAGTAGAGCAGAGCAGAGCAGAGCAGAGTAGAGTAGAGTACATAAGAGTAGAGTAGAGCAGAGTAGATTAGAGTAGAGTAGAGTAGAGTAGAGTAGAGCAGAGTACATTAGAGTAGAGTAGAGTAAAGCAGAGTACATTAGAGTAGAGTAGAGTAGAGTAGAATACATTAGAGTAGAGCAGAGTAGAGTAGAGTACATTAGAGTAGAGTAGAGTAGAGTACATTAGAGTAGAGTAGAGTAGAGTAGAGTAGAATACATTAGAGTAGAGCAGAGTAGAGTAGAGTACATTAGAGTAGAGTAGAGTAGAGTACATTAGAGTAGAGTAGAGTAGAGTAGAATACATTAGAGTAGAGCAGAGTAGAGTAGAGTAGAGTAGAGTAGAGTAGAGTAGAGTAGAGTAGAGTAGAGCAGAGCAGAGCAGAGCAGAGCAGAGCAGAGTAGAGTAGAGTAGAGTAGAGTAGAGTAGAGTAGAGTAGAGCAGAGCAGAGCAGAGTAGAGTAGAGTAGAGTAGAGTAGAGTAGAGTAGAGCAGTGTAGAGTAGAGCAGAGTACATTAGAGTAGAGTAGAGTAGAGTAGAGTAGAGTAGAGCAGAGTACATTAGAGTAGAGTACATTATTTATTTATTTATTTATTTACTCATTTGAGAGGATAAACCCCTTGAGATGCATCATCTCGTTTAGAGTAGAGTAGAGTAGAGTAGAGTAGAGTACATTAGAGTAGAGTAGAGTAGAATACATGTGAGTAGAGTAGAGTAGAATACATTAGAGTAGAGTAGAGTAGAATACATTAGAGTAGAGCAGAGTAGAGTAGAGAAGAGTACATTAGAGTAGAGTAGAGCAGAGTAGAGTAGAGCAGAGTACATTAGAGTAGAGTAGAGCAGAGCAGAGCAGAGCAGAGTAGAGTGCATTAGAGTAGAGTAGAGCAGAGTAAATTAGAGTAGAGTAGAGTAGAGTAGAGTAGAGCAGAGTACATTAGAGTAGAGTAGAGTAGAGTAGAGTAGAGTAAAGCAGAGTACATTAGAGTAGAGTAGAGTAGAGCAGAGTAGAGTAGAGTACAGTAGAGTACATTAGAGTAGAGTAGAGTAGAGTAGAGTAGAGTACATTAGAATAGAGTAGAGTAGAGCAGAGTAGAGTAGAGTACAGTAGAGTACATTAGAGTAGAGTAGAGTAGAGTACATTAGAGTAGAGTAGAGTAGAATACATTAGAGTAGAGTAGAGTACATTAGAGTAGAGTAGAGCAGAGTAGAGTAGAGCAGAGTACATTAGAGTAGAGTAGAGTAGAGTACATTAGAGTAGAGTAGAGTAGAGTAGAGTACATTAGAGTAGAGTAGAATACATTAGAGTAGAGTACATTAGAGTACATTAGAGTACATTAGAGTAGAGTAGAGTAGAATACATTAGAGTAGAGGAGAGTAGAGTAGAGTAGAGCAGAGTACATTAGAGTAGAGTAGAGTAGAGTAGAGTACATTAGAGTAGAGTAGAGTAGAATACCTTAGAGTAGAGGAGAGTAGAGTAGAGTAGAGCAGAGTACATTAGAGTAGAGTAGAGTAGAGTAGAGTACATTAGAATAGAGTAGAGTAGAGTAGAGTAGAGTAGAGTAGAGCAGAGTACATTAGAGTAGAGAAGAGTACATTAGAGTAGAGTAGAGTACATTAGAGTAGAGTAGAGCAGAGTAGAGTATAGCAGAGTACATTAGAGTAGAGTAGAGTAGAGTAGAGCAGAGTACATTAGAGTACATTAGAGTAGAGTACATTAGAGTAGAGTAGAGCAGAGTAGAGTAGAGCAGAGCACATTAGAGTAGAGCAGAGTAGAGTAGAGTAGAGTACATTAGAGTAGAGTAGAGTAGAGTAGAGTAGAGTAGAGTAGAGTAGAGTAGAGTAGAGTAGAGTAGAGTAGAGTAGAGTAGAGTAGAGTAGAGTAGAGTAGAGTAGAGTAGAGTAGAGTAGAGCAGAGCAGAGCAGAGTACATTAGAGTAGAGTAGAGTAGAGCAGAGTACATTAGAGAAGAGTAGAGTAGAGTAGAGTAGAGTACATTAGAGTAGAGTAGAGTAGAGTAGAATACATTAGAGTAGAGTAGAGTAGAGTAGAGCAGAGTACATTAGAGTAGAGTAGAGTAGAGTAGAGCAGAGTACATTAGAGTAGAGTAGAGTAAAGCAGAGTACATTAGAGTAGAGTAGAGTAGAGTACATTAGAGTAGAGTAGAGCAGAGTACATTAGAGTAGAGTAGAGCAGAGTAGAGTAGAGTACATTAGAGTACATTAGAGTACATTAGAGTAGAGTAGAGTAGAGTAGAGTAGAGTAGAGTAGAGTAGAGTAGAGTACATTAGAGTAGAGTAGAGTACATTAGAGTAGAGTAGAGTACATTAGAGTAGAGCAGAGCAGAGTAGAGTAGAGCAGAGTACATTAGAGTAGAGTAGAGCAGAGTAGAGCAGAGTAGAGACAGGGTCAGCGTTACTGTCAGACTGTATAACGTGTGTCAAAGTGTTTCCTTGTTGTGATCTGTGGCTGATGGGAGCAGACAGAGACAGGACGTCCTGTGGAGGAGCCTCTCTGACCTCTCCTCCTCCCCCTCTCTCCTCCTCGCTCCTCCTCCTCTCTCCTCGACTCTCTCTTCCCCCTCTCTCCTCTCTCCCCTCCTCCTCTCCTCCTCTCTCCTCCTCTCTCCCCTTCTCTCCTCCTCCTCTCTTCTCCTCCTCGCTCCTCCTCTCTCCTCCTCTCTCCCCTTTTCCTCGCTCCTCCTCTCTTCTCCTCCTCGCTCCTCCTCTCTCCTCCTCCTCGCTCCTCCTCTCTTCTCCTCCTCGCTCCTCCTCTCTCCTCCTCCTCTCTCCTCCTCTCTCCTCCTCTCTCCCCCTCTCTCCTCCTCGCTTCTCCACTCTCCCCCTCTCTCCTCCCCCTCTCTCCTCTCTCCCCTCCTCCTCTCTCCTCCTCTCTCCCCCTCTCTCCTCCCCCTCTCCTCTCTCCCCTACTCCTCTCTCCTTCTCTCCCCCTCTCTCCTCTCTCTCCTCCTCCTCTCCCCCCCCCTCCCCTCCTCTCTCCTCCTCGCTCCTCCTCCTCTCTCCCCCTCTCTCCTCCTCTCTCCTCCTCCTCTCCCCCCCTCTCTCCTCCTCTCTCCTCCTCTCTCCTCCTCCTCCTCTCTCCCCCTCTCTCCTCCTCCTCTCTCCTCCTCCTCTCTCATCCTCTCTCCTCCTCCTCTCCCCCCCTCTCCTCCTCCTCTCTCCTCCTCCTCTCCCCCTCCTCTCTCTCTCCTCCTCCTCTCCCCCCCTCTCCTCCTCTCTCTCCTCTCTCCTCCTCCTCCCCCCCCTCTCTCCTCCACTCTCCCCCTCTCTCCTCCCCCTCTCTCCTCCCCCTCTCCTCTCTCCCCTCCTCCTCTCTCCTCCTCCCCCCCCCCCCTCTCTCCTCCTCTCTTCTCCTCGCTCCTCCTCCTCTCCTCCTCTCTCCTCCTCTCTCCTCCTCCACTCTCCTCCTCCTCCTCCCCCTCCCCCTCTCTCCTCCTCCTCTCTTCTCCTCTCCTCCTCCTCCTCTCTCCCCCTCTCTCCTCTTCCTCTCTCCTCCTCCTCTCTCATCCTCCTCTCTCCCCCTCTCTCCTCCTCCTCTCCCCCCTCTCTCCTCCTCCTCTCTCCTCCTCCTCCCTCCTCCTCCTCTCTCCTCCTCTCTCCTCCTCGCTCCTCCTTCCTCAGGCCTCAGACTGGCCTCAGACTGACCTCAGGCTGACCTCAGGCTGACCTCAGACTGACCTCAGGCTGACCTCAGGCTGACCTCAGACTGACCTCAGGCTGACCTCAGGCTGACCTCAGACTGGCCTCGGACTGGCCTCAGACTGGCCTCAGGCTGGCCTCAGGCTGGCCTCAGACTGACCTCAGACTGGCCTCAGACTGGCCTCAGACTGACCTCAGACTGACCTCAGACTGGCCTCAGGCTGACCTCAGACTGGCCTCAGACTGGCCTCAGACTGACCTCAGACTGACCTCAGGCTGACCTCAGACTGACCTCAGACTGACCTCAGGCTGACCTCAGACTGACCTCAGGCTGACCTCAGACTGGCCTCAGACTGACCTCAGGCTGACCTCAGGCTGACCTCAGACTGACCTCAGGCTGACCTCAGGCTGACCTCAGACTGGCCTCAGACTGGCCTCAGGCTGGCCTCAGACTGGCCTCAGACTGGCCTCAGACTGACCTCAGACTGGCCTCAGGCTGACCTCAGACTGGCCTCAGACTGGCCTCAGACTGGCCTCAGACTGGCCTCAGACTGACCTCAGGCTGGCCTCAGGCTGACCTCAGACTGGCCTCAGGCTGACCTCAGACTGGCCTCAGACTGGCCTCAGACTGGCCTCAGACTGGCCTCAGGCTGGCCTCAGGCTGGCCTCAGGCTGGCCTCAGGCTGACCTCAGACTGGCCTCAGGCTGACCTCAGACTGGCCTCAGACTGGCCTCAGACTGGCCTCAGGCTGGCCTCAGGCTGACCTCAGACTGACCTCAGACTGGCCTCAGGCTGGCCTCAGGCTGACCTCAGGCTGGCCTCAGGCTGACCTCAGACTGGCCTCAGGCTGACCTCAGACTGGCCTCAGACTGGCCTCAGACTGACCTCAGACTGGCCTCAGACTGGCCTCAGGCTGACCTCAGACTGGCCTCAGGCTGACCTCAGACTGGCCTCAGACTGGCCTCAGACTGACCTCAGACTGGCCTCAGGCTGACCTCAGACTGGCCTCAGGCTGACCTCAGACTGGCCTCAGACTGGCCTCAGGCTGACCTCATGTACTCTACTCTACTCTACTCTACTCTACTCTAATGTACTCTAATGTACTCTACTCTACTCTGCTCTACTCTACTCTAATGTACTCTGCTCTACTCTACTCTAATGTACCTCAGACTGGCCTCAGGCTGACCTCAGACTGGCCTCAGACTGGCCTCAGACTGGCCTCAGGCTGGCCTCAGGCTGACCTCAGACTGACCTCAGACTGGCCTCAGGCTGGCCTCAGGCTGACCTCAGGCTGGCCTCAGGCTGACCTCAGACTGGCCTCAGGCTGACCTCAGACTGGCCTCAGACTGGCCTCAGACTGACCTCAGACTGGCCTCAGACTGGCCTCAGGCTGACCTCAGACTGGCCTCAGGCTGACCTCAGACTGGCCTCAGACTGGCCTCAGACTGACCTCAGACTGGCCTCAGGCTGACCTCAGACTGGCCTCAGGCTGACCTCAGACTGGCCTCAGACTGGCCTCAGGCTGACCTCAGACTGGCCTCAGACTGGCCTCAGACTGACCTCAGACTGGCCTCAGGCTGGCCTCAGGCTGACCTCAGGCTGACCTCAGGCTGACCTCAGACTGGCCTCAGGCTGACCTCAGACTGGCATCAGACTGACCTCAGACTGGCCTCAGACTGGCCTCAGGCTGACCTCAGACTGGCCTCAAACTGGCCACAATAAAACTCACAAAAAGCCACAGACGCTGCAGCTCTGAGGGAGCACTGACCTCCAGATCCAGCCCAGGACCTCCACATCCAGCCCAGGACCTCCACATCCAGCCCAGGACCTCCAGATCTAGTCCAGGACCTCCAGATCCAGTCCAGGACCTCCAGGTCTAGTCCAGGACCTCCAGATCCAGTCCAGGACGTCTACATCCAGCCCAGGACCTCCACATCCAGCAGGTTCACCTCTGGGATCCTCCGAGACCCTGAGAGCGGCTGAAACAATTGGTTTGCACCAAACACTGCACAAACTGTCAGAGACCGTCCTCATCGGGTCTGGACCTGACTCCAGCTCGTCCTCGTCGGGTCTGGACCTGAATGAATTTTGGATCTATAAGTCCATCTCAAGAAAATGGGAACAAAACCAAAAGTGTTTAAACCCTAAACCTTTAAGTTTTTGTTGAGCACATTTACATTTCATTTTGGTCTCTCTCTGGTCTCTCTCTGGTCTCTCTCTCTGGTCTCTCTCTGGTCTCTCTCTGGTCTCTCTCTGGTCTCTCTCTGGTCTCTCTCTGGTCTCTCTCTCTGGTCTCTCTCTGGTCTCTCTCTGGTCTCTCTCTCTGGTCTCTCTATCTGGTCTCTCTCTCTGGTCTCTCTCTCTGGTCTCTCTCTGGTCTCTCTCTGGTCTCTCTCTCTGGTCTCTCTCTCTGGTCTCTCTCTCTCTGGTCTCTCACTGGTCTCTCTCTGGTCTCTCTCTCTCTGGTCTCTCTCTGTTCTCTCTCTCTGGTCTCTCTGGTCTCTCTCTGGTCTCTCTCTGGTCTCTCTCTCTGGTCTCTCTCTCTGGTCTCTCTCTGGTCTCTCTCTGGTCTCTCTCTGGTCTCTCTCTCTGGTCTCTCTCTCTGGTCTCTCTCTCTGGTCTCTCTCTCTGGTCTCTCTCTGGTCTCTCTCTCTCTGGTCTCTCTCTCTGGTCTCTCTCTCTCTGGTCTCTCTCTCTGGTCTCTCTCTGGTTTCTCTCTGGTCTCCTTCTGGTCTCTCTCTGGTCTCGCTCTCTTCCTGGTCTCTCCCTGGTTTCTCTCTCTGGTCTCTCTCTTTGGTCTCTTTGGTCTCTCTCTGGTCTCTCTCTGGTCTCTCTCTGGTCTCTCTCTGGTCTCGCTCTCTGGTCTCTCTCTGGTCCCTCTCTGGTCTCTCTCTGGTCTCTCTCTGGTCTCTCTCTGGTCTCTCTCTGGTCTCTCTCTGGTCTCTCTCTGGTCTCTCTCTGGTCTCTTTCTGGTCTCTCTCTCTGGTCTCTCTCTGGTCTCTCTCTCTCTGTTCTCTCTCTCTGGTCTCTCTCTCTTGGTCTCTCTCTCTCTCTCTCTCTGGTCTCTCTCTCTCTCTGTCTCTCTCTCTGGTCTCTCTCTGGTCTCTCTCTGGTCTCTCTCTGGTCTCTCTCTGGTCTCTCTCTGGTCTCTCTCTGGTCTCTCTCTCTGGTCTCTCTCTGGTCTCTCTCTGGTCTCTCTCTGGTCTCTCTCTGGTCTCTCTCTGGTCTCTCT